AACTTTCTACCCACTGGCCTGTGATCTTCCTGCATTCGGCATCATTGCCTATGTTGCATGAGTTGATCTGGACTGGGCTGGGATGCTTTCTTAATATACAATTTCTCTTTGATATAAAGTTCTCTATTACGCACATATGAGTGTCTCTGGATTTGTTTCTCTAGTCTACCCGGACTAACACAGTTGCCTTATTTCGAATGCTATGGGCTCATGCAAGGGCACCAGAGACAAGTGGTGGGGGACTAGAATCCCTGGCTGAAGAGGGTGCGGAGGGCCATCCCCTTCCTCCGTGGGCCTGTTCTCTCTTTATCTACTCCCTGTGCTCAAGGGGCTCATAGGTGGCTGAGAAATAAGGAAAGGCTCACTTTTACTCACAGCTGGTCAGTTCTTGTCTAGGACTGGCACGATTTCCTGGGAATCAACATCTGACTAAAGTCTTTTTTTTTTTTAAGGTAAGTGGCACACTGCCTACCATTACAGAACACTGTGATCCAAGATTCTGGAGAAAAATCCTGATCCAAAAGTAGGGACATGCAGAACAGAATGTCAACTCTCATTCCATTCCAGACTGTCCATGGAGTCAGGATGAACCCCTGAAACTATCGACCAACATCATCCCCTGAAGACTTCCTTAAACCACTTCTAGCTTAACCAGTAATGAAGGTCTGCCCTGAGCCTTGACTCTTTTAAGGAACGTGTCCCCAAAACTCACAGCAAAATCCCCTGCCTATGGAGTCGATGCCGACTCCCAGCGACCCTATAGAACTGCCCTGTGAGTTTCTGAGACTGTGACTCTTTACAGGAGTACAAAGCCTGTCTTTCTCAAGAAACTTACCATATGGGATCAAATTGCTGACAATTCCAAGGTTAGAGAGGGACCTTAGTGGGGAGAGGGCTTACGTCTGTGGGGGAAGAACCAATTGGAAAGGGAAGATGATGGAGATGCTACAATTTGAGGGATGTAATCGATGTCACTGTGCTGTCTGTGTAGAAATTTTTGGATTGGTATGTGTTTTGTCGTGTATATGTTATAAACAAATGTTTTAAAGGCAAAGGGCATAGGACACACAATCCTTATGGCAGGATTATCTGGCTTTCTGGGTCTCTCTTTTCTATAAAATGGGGATAATGAAAGCATCAACCAAGAGTCGGTCTGAGCATTAAACACAATTACATTCTAAGAAAAAAATTTTAAATAAGACAAATAAAAGGAAACATAGGCAGAGCCCTGTAGTGAATGCTAAATAAATGCCAGTCACGGAGGTGGTCTCTCTGATTCCTAGGCCAGCTGCTGCATCAGGCAGAAGGGGCCTACATCTTAAAGTGAGAGTCACTGAGCAGTCTCATCTATCAATTCAGACTGTGTCCACCCCGTGGCTCCCAGGCCTGACAAGGGGTGGGAGAACATTCTGGAAGGTCAGAATGCAGCATCTTTGTCGGGTGCCTCTCCTTTGTCTCCCCGGCAAGAAAGCACAGCACAGAATTTGAAAACTGAAATGGTAAAAGACTTTTGGAGGAAAAATTACAAAGCAAATACCAAAGTCAGGGTAGGTAGGCAGCGGGAGGAAGCTGATGTTTACTGAGTTAGGCTGCAAGGTTAGAACTTGGTCACCTGAGCGTCCTTGCCTCTGAAGCCTCCTTTTCCTCATTTGTGAAATGGG